GTTATTAATAAGCCCGTCCCCATCCTGATGCCACATTCTTCCTCGTGTACTCCAGTTTCCTTGATAATTTGCTCAGCATACAGATAGATTTGAATATTTCCCACAAGTTGATGAAGCTCTATGCTGTTCTCACAATGTCCTTCTGTTTACGTCCATGTTGTAGCCACCATGTTAATACATCTTGTCAAGGGTCTTTCTTTCTTTTTTTTTCTTTTTCCCCACTGCTGTTTACTTAACCAAGCATGATATCCTTTTTCGGGGACTGGTCTCTCCTGATAACATGTCCAAAGTATGTGAGAGACCAAGTCACCATCCTTGTCTCTAGGGAGGATTCTTCCTGTGCCCTTCCAAGACAGATTTGTTTGTTCTTTTGACAGTCCATGAAACTTTCAGTATTCTTTGTCAGCATATTATTTGCACCATAATTCAAATGCAATGAGTCCCCAGTCTTCCGTGTTCAGTGTCCAACTTTCACATGCATGTGGGGTGATTGAAAATACCCTGACTTGCATGAGGAACACCTTAGTTCTCAAAGTAACATTCTTGCTTTTCAATATGGAAAAAAGGTCTTGTAGAGCACAACTCATTAACTTTCCTTTAAAACCCCATAATTTTGAGTATAATCCACAAGTTCAGTGGCCATATCAGTGAATTACAGGACCAAAGAGAGAAATAGAGTATCATGGAAGGGGCAAGTGACATTAGCATAAGGTATCGCATGATGGAAAGTTGATGTGCGTATGATCTCTGCCTCATAGGAATCATACTTGAGTAGATATGGAATTGGATTCTCCTTTGTGAAGCCAGAGTGGGTGAGACATGTCTCCCATGCCATTTCTCCAGTGACCTTCAACTTACACTTCCCCAAACTCTGTTTCAAATAAAATCAGTTTCCTTGTGGAAAACTTTGTAACTCTGTGTTTACAACCCACATCTTGTCTGGTAAACAACTCTGAGTTACTGTTCTGGCTCTGGGGTCAAGGATATATTTTTCCCCCTCTGAGTAACTCCCATGCTTTACAATAAGGGAACTCAGCAGGGAAAACAGACTCTGGTATGCTTTTTCTTCTCTCTCAGCATGGAAGCTTTTCACTACAAATGACACGGGGTGGAAGTGACTGGCGTCTGTCTCAGCAAGCTTGGGCTGCCTTATTACTGAGGGTTGGACGGAAGAAGATGGCCCTGAGCCGCTCCTGCCTGGAATGCAACATGAGACAATGGGGAATGAGAAGATCTGTCCGCTTGTCTCTTGAGCGGCGGTCCTGTATTTGGCTGCATCCACACGGAAGGAAACTTGGTTATACTAAGCTGGAGGTGCGGAGGAGCTAGAAAATGTGCCATTTCGCCAACGTGCAGTTTCCCTGAGTTCTGGTAGAGAGTAACATCCTGTTTCTGAGTTTGCTCAGGGACCTGGAAACA